CATCAGCTAATTAAGCCCGGCCTGCATTCCCTGTGGCAAATAGGAGTATTGCTCCATCTTCACAGAGGACAGTTGTAATGGCTTAAGCGTACATTGACTACGAGTGCTACCAAGTGCAGCGTGGCTACCGTAGCTCTTCGCCTAGAGGAATCTAAGCTAAGGTTACCAATCTAACGTTCTTTACAAAAAATAAAACGAGTGCAGCCGATCGCAATCGCTGCCTCCAAAAGTAAAAGAAACTTAGCCAAGGTAGATGAACTCTTCAGTTTAAAATTGAAACCGTACTTGATTGTTTTAGTTGCGGCACAGCCGCCAATATCTAAATCATGGGTTTTCTTAATTAAATAGTAAAACCTAAATTAATATGCATTACTAGTGGCATCTTGCTACGGTGTAGCCACGACATTGTGTGATTATCAATCAACTTGTGTAATCCACACCTATGTACGGTCACATCATTTTGTGTGACCCACTTTTTCATTCAAGAATTTGTACAGCCTCGTTAGAGACCCGATCGTCTTTTTTGTATCGTCTGTGATGCTTTGGACTTTGTCATCGGCTGTGCACTGCTTCAAACAGAAGCCGAGGGACGAGATTGGTTGATCGCGTTCTAATTTTGCCAGCTTAAGGCTGCGGAGAAGAACTTATCTGTCCATGACAAAAAATCACTTGCGATGAAGTATGCATTTGTCAAGTTCAAGGTGCACCTGCTCGGCTCAAAGCCGTTTGTGATCTAGACAGATTATGCGTCATTACGCACTGCGACTCAGTCGCATCACCTCTCGCAGAGGATGGCCAGGTGGATCTTTTTCGTCGCAGAATATGACTTCGAGGTGAAGTATAAGTCAGGAAAGCTGAATGCTTTGGCTGATAGATTGTCACGCAGACCGAATCATGAGCTTGCTCAAGTCACGTCGATGACGTTGTTAATGACGGATATGATCCGCACCGCACACGCGGGTGGTGATATGTGTGTAGCGCTGCTACGGGCTCTTGAAAGCAAGGAGTTTGGAAAAAAGCTGTCATCGCGACTGCGCGAACGGTTACACCGATATTCGTTAAATATCAGGTTGCTATATTATAGCACCGTTTCAATGGATTCTCAATGAATTGCGGCTCCCCCATAATGAGAATTTGAACTATTGTATCCTCTTTGAGACCCACGCAGTTGTCATCCCGGTCGTGAGAGGGCCTATAGCTTTGTGAGTTGCCACTACTGGTGGCATAAGCTGTACAATTAGAACATATATGCGCACGTGTAAGACGTGTAAAAGGGTGAAATCCTCTGCGAGTACGGTTACGCCGCCGGTTTGTTTACCGGTACCCGCCGGGTGTTGGCAGTCCATGAGTATGGACTTTTTATTTGGGCTGCCGAAGGACTCAGCGGGCAACACGGGGGTGGTGGTCTTTGTGGACCGTTTGAGCAAGTTGGCTCATTTTGCGGCGGTGCCGGACACCATCGACGGTGTGGGTACAGTGACGCTGTTTATTCGTCGTGTCTCTGGATAGCATGGACTCCCGAAGTCGATTGTATTTGAAAAAGACCCGCGTTTCACTGGGAAGTTTCGGTCTACACTCTTCAGGTGCTGGGCACCACGTTGACTATGTCAAAAGCGGGCCATCTACAGATCGATGGTCAAACTGAGCGCGTGAATCTCATCGTTGAAGACGTTCTTCGCAGCGTCTGCGCTGAAACGCCGAAGGGCTGGAGTGCCATCCTGCAACTCTACGAGTGGCAACACTGAACAATGCAGTGCATTCGTCTACCGGCTACACACCATTCTACGTGAACGGGATTGTTAATCTCCGTGTTCCGCTGACGCCGTCATCCCATGGCTCAGGGCTTGGTAGGGGAGGATAGCCGAGCGGCAAGCTGATGTCAGCCCTCTACAGTCCGTAAAGTAGTCGATGACTTCCTGTCTACCAGACCGAGGCTGAAAGCCAAGACATGCAGAAAGATATAGCAGATGGAAAAAGCAGAAAAGTTTGAGGTCAGAGACCTGGTTTTATTAAATGCTTGAAACCTTCCTACACATGAATGGCGCTCGACTTTCTGTTGGTGTCCGGTGATCAAATGGGAGTTGATTTCAACCTGGTGGAAAATGATGTGGGTCTGGTGGTAAAAAACCCGGTGAGAGATCACCTGGCACGACCATCCGACGAACCAGTGTGTCTGGTATGGTCTTAACCAGCCCATTTGGTTCCACTCTGATCCAGAGTACGCGCGACGCTCTGCAACTCCATTTAGAGCAAAGCAACATTTATGCCTATCTCGGCTTCCATCACCCGAAGCGAGGATTTTTTTCGTCTTTGTTCTCGAAAGCGTCAGGCTTACGATAGGAGCTATCTGCTCAGCTGCTAGCGCATTCTTGAAGCCATGAGCATCTAGAGGCAAGCGACTACCGCTTCCGGCCTTTTTTGTCTACAAGTCTCTTAATCTTGTCGGGTTTGTGGCAGGCAGGCAGGTTATTAAGCTGGACGATTTGTTCAGGGGTTATGTACACAAATATTTCGTGTACTATCCTCACATACGATACAGTCCTTCCTCGACTCGGCTGTGAAATCGATGGAAATGTCACCTAATACAACGTGATTGCCGTCACTTTGCACCGAAAAAGTTTGTACTTTAATATTCCGCGATAACAAAAACACAGAGGATGAATTCGCGCGCTTCAACCTGGAGCTGAACCGCGACCTTCAAATTTATTAACACTGTTAGGTATGCTCTTCTATTTCCAGCGTTTATATTTTTGGTTTTTCATTCTATTTGACTAATATCAATTATACGATTTCTACTATCATCATAATGAAACCACTTTATTTTTTAGAGTTCCGCCATGTCTCGGTACTTAAGAATAAAATATTTGTAATGTGAATATTGTCATTAAGGCAATTAGACTAAATGTGAAAGATCACAGTACTTACCCATTACACCGCGTGGTTACACAAAAAATGCCTACGCTCACACATTTTGGTGAAAGCTGAATTAAATCTATGCTGTCAGGCACACGAAGTAGTGATAAGCAATTTGTTGCAACATTTGTGATGAGCCCCGTAGTAGTTACAGCGGTCCAAGCTTGATTCGCTTTCCATTTGTCCTGATTGATCAGAATGTGCGATGCATCAAACATTTTGAAAATTATTTGGTGAAAAAGTTTTTAGAACGTGAATTCGAGAATTAAAAGCTTGATTTTCTAGAAGCATCCGAATATTTCCAGAAAGTGAAACTTCTTATCTTTTCTTTCGGAATGATATATATTACATGCTGAATAAGGTAGTGTTGTTGATTGTTATATTACTCAAACACAATCTCATTAATCAGACAAAGCATATTATAAATATAGCACTTGCACAAGATATATGATATGTTTAAAAATTTAACCTGACTTAACTAATAGATACACTCACATATTTGAAACAGGTTTCATGTTCTCATGGGGTTCGGGTCTCGTGCATGTCCTTGTACTTATACATCGCATTCTCAGCCGAGTCAGGGAGTGAAGACGCTACACACATTGTCTGTTGTAGAAGTATCTAGATAAAAGAAGTATCGAAGCTCTAAATGATATTAGTGTATGAATCATATTATCTGTAAGCATTCCGATGTCTCGGCATGCGTTAGTCTTGTGAGGTATTACGGATTGCCGCGATGGCGCAATAAATTAATCAAGGAGCAGGTCAATTGATTCCTGCACATCTTGTCGATAGTCGATGTCGTTCAGAGCCTGCTCGATAGATATATCAGGCGTGAACGGCAAAGGCTCTACTTCACCTAGCAATTCGTCTAGGTCAAAATCTACATCTAGATCATCAAAACTGGAAGAGCTGGAGCTAATGATGCTACCTTCGTCACTAGCCACCGGGCTGCATCCGCCCATCAATAGCTGTCCGAAGCTACTCATTGGTGACATGGGACCTATTGAATAGGCCGAAGGAGATCTCGGAGAGCCCTGAGCTGTAAAGTTTTTTAATCGCTGAATACAACCCGTAGCGTGGGCATCAACGCGGTGCTCAGGGCGAACAAATTTCTTCTTTTGTTTGCGCAGGCCTCGTCGTCGGCGATTGATCTTTTGCTGATACTTTTGTGCATGTGTCTGCACTTGCTTGATGGAACGTGTGCCGATAAAAGCAGCAATCGAGCGCCACGGACCAGTCGGAAACATCTTCATCGCGTGCAAAAATTGCTCATGCTCCTGTTCGGACCAAAGGCCGCGAGTTATCGGTGAGTTGGGGGCTGGTCTAACAGTGACGCTGCCTTCGTGAGTGCTGGTAGGCATCATGGTCTTAAAGGTAGTCACTACAGACTTGATAGCGATGTTACTTGGTGTGATTGCGTTGCTGCAGCAAATTTCGGAAATGAAGCAACCAGCGACGTGATTGATGTGGCCAATGGTCACTTTTTTAGCTTTGACATGCCTTGGCCTTTCTGAGCGAAAAATGGGGAGATGGGCCTTTTGAGAGGGAGTAGGGGAAATTTATGGCTTTGTGTTGTCAGTAGAGAAAAGTATGACCAATAGCAGCTGAGCATCGTACCGGCTTGTCTGTTGACAGTATCCGTATCAGTCGGTAATTTATAACATTTATACAGATACGCAATCACATATCATCATGCACGTACAAAAGCCTACAAGCTAGCACGTTTGAGAGTAAGTGTTGCTGAGTAGTAGCTGCATCAGCTTTCTGCTCCTATTTTGGCAAAGACTTATCGATACCGAGGTCCTGTGATATATTTTGCTGCTGCTAGCAATTTGCGGCAATTCAGAAACGGCTGCGTCAGTAATATATATCTCACGTGATCCAAAATTCAGAAAAAACTGTAGCATCTCAGAAATTTCGAATGATCGATGACGTAGTAAGGCGGTAGAATGAACATGTGCATGTTTCTATGGATACCGGTGCCTCTGTAGCAGTAAGTTGCTTCTGATGGATGACACAACTATCATCAATCAAACAAATTAAAATGTTCTGTAATGGTAAAGCTCTGAAGGAAGTATTGAAAAAAAGCTACTTGTCATTTTGTAAAATGCAAAAATCATCAGTGATGTTGAAAAAGATCTCATAAAATAAATTACTTCGAAAGACTCAGCACCGGCATATCTGCGACAACCTCATGCCGAAAAAAAGTTGGTGGTGCTGGGGTTGTAAAAGGCTGAAGGTCGCAGGCGTTGAAGTTGCCATGGCCAACGGCACTGCTGCGATTCGCGCACAGCCAGTGCCGTCCCAGTCGAATACCAGTACTTGGCCTGCGAACATGACGTTCACCAACGCGACCTTCCTTCTTTTGGCTTCCTCTCGCAACCTCATCTTTTTTATCCTGTCGCTTCGGCGTACAAGGTACATAGTCCACCAGAGTTACTTAATATGCATCAAGTTGCTGACTCAACCCGCAAGTGCTCGACGTGGTCGTTTATGAGACACTGGAGCAGGCGTTGTATATTAAGGTGTGTAACACGCTTTGAAAATGGCCACGGTGGAAGCTGCGACGCTTACCGTCCTTTCCAGAAATCTTCAATGTATCAATGATAATGCTCTCTAGTCGAGTACCGTAAATTTCCATTTTTGAATGGATTTGTGCTTTACAGAATTTAAGGCAGAAAAGTTTTCTTTCAAGCAAGAAGTGCTGTCTGGCAACCCAAGTCTGGACAGTTTCGACCAATTGACCACGAAATAGATTTGTATATCGTAGTACTAGCAGCCGCAGCCCGCCAGTTTCAGCTCTTAAGTCAAGCGGGCTGCTAGGTACCATTAGCCCATCGTCGAAGAATTGTCTCTGATCGAACTTTCGTCCACGTTCGTCGGGCGATCATACTATGTATATCTTTGGAATTTATTAAAGCAGCCCACGGCCCATCCCCACGCAGGAGGACCAAATCTTTTTTTTATTATCGCAAGATGTAGCCGCTGAGCGGCAGGCGCGAGTTTGTTAAAAACCAGGCGTTGATCTGCCTCAAAGGCCGTCGGTATCATGGCTACGCAGCAAAGGCTACACCGTAGCTGTGTCTAACGAAGCAAGGAAAGTTGCAATTCGTGACTAAACGATAGATACAGTAACAAAGCACTGTAGTATTTTCAGATAATTAGAATGCTGACCTGCTGCATATACAGCTGCCGCCGCGAGGAATGGTTGCTGTGTATCCGGAAAAGTAAGGACAATTCTAGGCGACTGCTTGCGGAGGGGGACCCGACCGTGAGGCTTTCCATCTGAGCCGTCTACACTGAAACTACATGACAACATCACAGTTACGTCGACCGACCTCCCGCATCGCAATTTGAGACGCAGTAAGTCGGCTCAAGCTCAGCATTAGCCGTTAGATTTCCAACGGCCATTGCGCTAACAGCAAGGTATAAACGGGATTAATTCATTAATTGTTGTTCTGTTCGTCCATTCTGTGGCATCCGACTTTCACGAGTGTTTAACGACTGCCCGTTCTTCTCGATCTTTTTATCGTCTCCTATATGCGCCTTCCCCTCTGCAGTCATCACTTTCTGCCTTTTTCTTTTTGAATTCTTGCGATCATCTGCCGCTGCTGCACGTTTATCTATCTCGAATTCGAAGCCCACAGGCGTCGTAAGCTTCGGGCGACGAACAGCTGGGACGCCAACGCCTCCGCTGGCCGAAAGCGCCTGTGAAAACTGATCCCCTCTTTCTGGCGCCAATCCGTTAGTTGTAGCATTGTGATACTGCTGCGTCTTCCGTTTTTGAGCCTGCACGCGCTTGCGAATGGCAGCGATTTCCAGCAATTCGCGAGACGTTCGTGTCAACATGTCAGCGCGAGAGCGAGTTGTTACTTTCTTTAATTTATGAAATTTGGGTGATTGCGGAATCGTCAACCGACCATTTTCTTTGGCTAAACGTGCTAAGCGCCGCCGCTTTAGAGCCACGTTGCGCGCTTCTGCTAATTCTTTGTCTTTGCCCGTCAAAACTTTCTTCCGGGAGTTGGCGAGCGATGCTTTTGTGGGTTTCAAGAGGCGGTCAGTGGATGAAATAGCGCGTACTTTTGAAATTGGAGGCGGCGCACTGCGAAATATGGCGTCTGGGTCTTCCCCGCGCTCAGAACGCCGCGTAGAAGCCATTGCAGCAGAAATGCTTTTCTTGGACTAGCCTTCGCGCCTGTCGAGCTATCAGAAATCAAATTAAACACTTAAATTATAAATGACGAAAAAAGACCCAATTATGAATTTAAACTTTGACATTAAAGTTTTTGAAATGACATTGAGGTTTTGACCGTGACTTTGTTTTTAATTTTGCTACAGACAAGGTTTCGACGCCTATGTGTATAAATGCGCCATCGCGTTTGACTCTTGCCAGCTTGGAGCGGCAGAAAAAAATTCATCAGTTCTAGTCAAAGAGCTACCTCCAAGGAAGTATGCTCTTGTCAAGTTCAGGGTACACCTTCTTCGCTCCAAGGCGATTGTAAACTATGCAGATGATGTATCGCTGCGTACAGCGACATCGTCATTACATTTCTTACGAAGGATGGCAGTATGTCTATGCTTGTTTCCGATTATACCTTCGAGGTAAGGTATGAAGCTGGTCGGCTAATGTGGTGGAAATTGCGCTTTCGCGTCATCACAACTACGAAAGCCGTATACCACGGTGGTGATGTCGATAGCTCAGCATATGAGTCAGGCGCACCATATGCTGCGCTACTGCTACAGAACCCTTTTGGTTGAAAAGAGTCCGAAAACGTAGATGTCGCTTTATCGAAGGGTGCGGTAACGCGCCTGCACTGCTATCGCAAAACTTGTTGTAATATAGTACTGATTCTCATGACACTCGGCGTGTATTGGTGCTTCACAATGATAACGTCAACTATAAAATACTGTACGATGCGCATGAAACCCCCTTGGGCGGACACCTTGTAAGTAAAAAAGACATGCTGCTCGATAAGCTCAATTGAATTGGTGGCTCTACATGTAGAAGTCAGTAGTGTAACGAGGTTACACGTACCCTGGTAAAAAGGGGTGGGTCACTCAAGATGGTGTGACCATACAAGTGTGTGGGTTACACGAGACGGTGTAATCACACAATGGTGTGGCTTTACTTTAACAAGAAGTCAGTACGTGGCTGGACTGCCAGTATTTATGCATTATAATTTGGTTTTACTATTCAATTAGAACAGATATAGGCGGCTTTGCTGCAAATAAATCAAAGAAATACACATCACACGTTGAACAGAAGAGTGAGTTTGCCTTGGTTTAAGGTTGTGGTTACTTCTGGAGTAAGTGGATTGCGATCCGCCACATCTGTACTGGTTTTAACTATAGAACGAAGGTCACCGATCCTAGCTTAGCTTCCTTTAAGCGAAAGACCTATGGCAGATCCGCTGCAAATTCCAAACGCTACTGAAATAGCACAGCATACAAAATCTATATAAGAGCTCTCGTTCCTGCTCCTGGGTAGAGCGTATAAGCACAACCCCAGCACGATATATACGTGTACTCACTGAGTCAAAGCTTTATCTGTGCAAGGTGAGCGATAACCCCGTTGCTAGCTAAATGTCAAATTGACTGCCGAGTACAGAAATCTGAGAGGTATGGAATACAAATTCCTTGGTTACCTGGCCCCAAAGTTCTTCACATGCTTTGTTGCCTCATTTAGATCGTTGGTTCGAAACAAATCAGCATTCTGACTGGCGAGGCAAAAAGCGGTAGTTGCTCGCCTAAAGGCGTTCGCCGACAATGAGATGCGCTGGTGAAACATCTTTTGGGGAGCACTATTGGGCATTGGAGGAATCACATGTGGCACTCAACGGGGGGTCGTTAATTTGAGGAAAAAGACCATATTTTACCTCCGAATGAGGGAAATTGAGATGGCCATGAACTCGGTCGTAAAACAGAGCGTCGTGCTTACGGGTGCAATGCTATAAGTATACGCGCGGAATTAGTGCTTACATAGAATACCTCGATAAAAAGGCTTTCAGAACAGGAAAATTTGATGCGACGAATTCCGCAGATGTTCGTATCGATTCGTAAGGCATATTGGGTGCGCTTCAAGTTATTGTATACACACTAAAGAAAACAAGCATTTGTAGATAACGCCCAAATCGTACAAACTCCCATAGACACAATGACATCAGATGGCTTTTGCAAAGAGATGACAATTACCGTCTTGTCATAGGATCTTCAAGCGTGTGCAGATCACGCCAAGAACGTCCGCGTCCACTACAGCTTTTCCAGAGAAATGGCGGAGTAAAGTCAAATGCGAGTAGGCCGCTCTCACCTGAAGAACATACTGGGATCGATCATACCTCGTCGAGGTCGTGGTCAAGGGGGCTCCAGCAACACTGCTAAAACATATGAGACTTACTGTAGGAGATTGTCGGTCGCTTAATTAGACACCCTTGTCTTCGTGAGGCCGCACAAGGCATGTAGAATTGAAGAGCGTCATGCAATTGTGTCAAGCGCAAACTGCAGAAAACAGTATATATTTGCGAAAGCATTGTGGATTCCAAATTTTGATACGATATATATGTATCTTGTCAGAGTGACACTGAAACATTTGGTCAAAAGCTGTTCTATAAATTTACGGAAAATTTTAATTTTTGACAGCGCGAGCGGTTGTCTTATCTTGAGCCAAAAATGAGGTCTCATTCTTGGTAGTAATTGGCGTGGCCAAAAAATTTACGAGATACGGGCCGACTCAATGTTTAACTTTACTAGATTCCACACATTTTCTTTCTTGTTAGTCTTTGAGGAATTATAAATCCGCTTCAAGTGGAAAGCATAATACCTTTTGGCGCGCGCACAAAGCAGAGATAGCTTACGCACAGGATATGAGATAGTCTGTATTTGACTGCGATGCTATTGCAAGGTGCCTTGAACATATAAAGTTGAGGCGGCGGTAAGTCGAGGTCTGAGAATAAAAAGACGAAGCGATTGTAGATCGCAATCTCCACAGTGTATCTGAGCTGATAAAGTCTGAATGTCGCGGTCCTCAGAGTGAATCTTTGGCGAGACACTGGTCTGGTGGCTTCTGTGCGAGGGCTGGTGAGATGCGAAAGCGACCAGTGTTGTATCTTTGCGTGAAAGAACCAGCAGATTTAAAGGTCGACTGTAAGCAGCGAGTTGAAGAACCAGGACCTGAAGATAATAATTATTTCTCTACTTTGTTAGGGTATGACAAATTTGCTGATATATTACTACCATACGACGGACCCACCGAGAGGATTAGTGAAGCTGTACGGATAAGTGGCGAGTAATATACTTCTGAAGGATGTGACCAGGGAAATCTCAGGGGCTGTAAATCGTTTCTTAATATCTTCCCGCGAAAAAGTTTGGGCTAAATAGACTATCTATAGGGAATATGTACAAGGAATTGCAGATGGTGAGGTCACGAAATGGTACGGTTGGTTCTGAATGAGGAGCTGAATACGCCATCCGCCTTATGCTCCTTTCCTTGAAGACACATGAGAATCACTCCATGCAAGAAGTGGGCAGCTTTTCTTAGATTTTCAACAATTTTTCTACATTCTGTTGATGAAACATCACGACGTTTCAACTTGAAACTCATGACACATCGATCCCCGGACAGGAACCGCGCCATGTAATGGGCTTGGTTTCGTTGAAAGCGCTTCTAAGGCACAAAGTTTGAGGACTGGAAAAGTTTGTCTTGACGATCCTACAGATCCGTTTCATCCTTTGTTCATAAAATACCACGATGTGGTGACAAGAGACCAGCCACACGGGTTACTGGTACTAAACAATGTTGACTAGGGTCCCAAAATTATGCTGCATGTCAATGTCATTTGTTAAAAAAAGAACGTGCAGTCCTCGACGATCTCTTTCCTGCAAAAACCAAGATATTTTGATGGGAACGATCAATCTCTTCAACTTTAAGTCGAATTCCTGCGACAGATAGGCTAACGACGTACGGCAAAATGTGCATGCAGGTAAGACGCTTATGCAGCCGCATTCGTTACCTTGACGCAAGCCCTAATTCATTATATTAATGTGCTGCAGAGCTGTACCTTGGCCAGTGTTTTTGATCTGATTCATTTGTATTTTTAGCCGCGAATGAGAGTTAGCGACGTGGTAAATAGTGCAAAATACGCCTACACCCTAAACTTGTGAAACTCATCACGCATCGACCCCGGACAGGGAATTGCGTCATATAATGGGCTTGATTTTGTTGAACGCGCTCCCAAGGCACAAAGTTTGAAGACTGGAAAAGTTTGTCTTGAAGATCCTAAGATCCGTCCCATCCTTTGTTCATGGGATACCATGACGTGGTGACAAGAGATCCGCCACACAGGTTACCATAACTAAACAAGATTGACCTACCAAAAGCTGCGTTAGATGACAATGTCATTTGCTGAGGAAACAACTTGAAGTCCTTGACGCTCTCTTCCCTGTAAAAACCGAAGTAGTTTTGGTGAGATCGATCAATCTTCCCATTCCTAGTCGACTTCCTGTGTCAGATAGGCTAACGACGTTTGACAAAATGTGTAGGATATAAGACGTTTATGCAGCCGCAGCCGCTATCTTGGCGCAAGCCCTGATTCATTATATTACTGTGCTGCAGAGCTATATGGCCGATGGGTACCTTGATCAGTGTTTCTGATCTGGTTGCTTTGTACGGTTAGCCGCGAATGAGAGAATAGCAATAACCATCTCACTGCCAAGTGAACTCCGAGCAAAATTCTCTGGGAAGTAGCTGATTATCCTTCAGAACTCATTTCACAACCCGGCGACGTTAAATTCCTTGGCACGTGTTTTGCCAGCATGACTTGCCGGTAATAATATATCGGATCGAGATCCTCGCTTATCAGCAATTTTTCGCACTCTTTTTAGGTAATTGCCACATAATTGAACATGTCCACCAGTAATCATTTGCAGATAGATAGACGTACAAAGCGTTTAGATCACGTGATGGATGATAACATCCAAAGCACTTGCACAGATGCTATAGCTTCCACTCATTCAATTTTGCGCTGAAGAACTTTGTATATGCATCTTGAAGCTTAATCTGTTTTTAAAAAAAATGTACTCCCGAAAACCATTTTACCGCCACAAAATAGCTCTGATCTTAATGAAGGAACAGCTGTTCGTGCGATTCGACTCGCTGGTGTCAACCCGGCTTGATTGCGTAGCAATATCACAACTTTGGTGAGATTGAGATTATGCATCATGCGACAAGTGTGTGACGCCACGATTAAAAAACAGGATACTCCACGACTAAATTAGAGGCATACCAAGCACGCATAAGGGGAAAAGATGTTAACCTAAGTACTCAACTAGTGTATAAAGTTCTTAACTCAGTATACATCGCGCTTAATCGGACCACTCAATGTCACAGAAAACAATAGTTTTGGTGATACCCTTGAAAAAATTGTGGGCCTACACTGTGCTCAACATGAGCTTCCTGAAGTCACATCATAGCCTGCTTCTGAAATCCAGACGTATGTGAAGGGTTCAGTCGGAGTCAGAGCTGCGTTTTCCCATTTCTTGTAACTTAGCAACCTTCTACTTTTGAATAGCGACACGATTATGAAATACCGAAAGTGCTAGGAACGATGACGAAAGTCAGTGAGCTAGTCCAGAAACGATCCCATTCCAATTTCACCCGTACGCAAATACTCTTTTTAAGATGTGACACTGCCTCAAGCGTGGAGCTCAACGGTATCCAGCCGCAGGACGGTCGGCATCTGCCGACTCTGCTCGACGAGTAAAGCACGCACACTCCATAAATTTTGTATCTGTAGGCTGGAAGATACGCCAAGGCTGTCACTAGAAATTTGGTGAAATGAATTGAATACCTACTTCAAAAATGCACAGGCTTTGAAGTCTCAAATTGGCAACATTGCCCAAGCGCTGTTGTCTCTTATGACCTGACTAACCCCAAGCTTTAATCTCGCCTGAGGCAGGGTTGACAGTTATACCCTTCTATCTACAGAAGAGTGACGACTGCCTTTTCTGCAAGGTAGACGGCTGGAACAGTTGACTGATGAAAATTTGTGGGCTGTTCACAGCGGGAGATGTGTGTGTGTCTGACCGCTGTTTCTCTAGGAACAGGAACTACTTTCGAAAAGTCGTAATCTGCGCGGCTGAATAATGCTAGCGATGCGACGTTCTGGTGCTCGTTTCATTCTCAGTAAGAATGCAATGTCTGTATGCACAGGCTCAAAAGATCCGCACCGAAGCAGTGATCAATCTAGTTGATATGAGCCAATAAGCTGGACATGTAGGAAGTGGCAAGAATCAAGGTTACTTATGCGTTTGTAAGCGGGAATCGGAGCTTCTGAGGCTTCTTTATCATTTTAGTGATTAGCTGGACATTACCGTGAGTCCCACAACGCCCCCTCTGTTGGATGCGTACACGGATTTATAGCTTGTACAGAGGGGTTCCAAATCGCGAAAAGCGCATAAATCGTAGTGAAAGGCTCATCTGTGTATCTCCAGTGAGGGCGGGGTTGTCGGGTCAGTATACAAAGGATTAAATGAGACTGTTTGCATCGGAAAGAGAATCGGTCTTTTTTTCGAGTACAGCTATACAGGCAAAAATTGCAAGGACTGTGACTTTCATAAAACCCGCCGGGTCATGTAGTTTTTACGAAGTCCTAAGTGTGCAAAAAGTGGTGTTAAATATTGCGCGCTGTGGGTGCTCGATGTACATTTACTTTGCAAAATGGTTTTATTCACTAGTGTTGTCCAAATCTTGATGAAGAAAATTCATACTAAATAAATTCTATGCGATGGTGAACGTACATGTAACATTTCTGATCAAATATACAATATACAATCTATTAAGCTGTACGTTATTAACATTACACTTTCGCACAACTTTACGTTTTGAAGGTGCAAAAGTGTCGGTACCGATAAAAATCCAGAACTTTTCAGAAAAGCTGTCCGTGGTACACGTACGCTACTGACTGCACGTCAAGTATAAAGATTTATCATAGAATAAAAGTTCGCATATTATTAACAATCTAAATAGAATTTACCTCACATATATGTCACTTGTGAAATAGCAGAGCATACTAAGTACTTAGTTATTTTCTAACGTTGTTGAGCTCAGTCCTGGTTAAAGTGTACAGAAGCAAGCTAAACGAGTTGTGTACGCGGATGCTTTGTAGCGATGATTTTTCTCTGCGGGATGTGTGACCACCAAGTCGCACAATTGCAAAAATGCTCCAGTTGATGCAAAACCTTTCGCGCGGGTAGTCAGGGAGTACTTAAATTTTCTGGACTACTTCGTTTGCGCGTAAGTAGGCTCCACGCTATAAATCGGTAGAGAATCGAAGCTCATAATGGTGGGCGCGTTACGCGATAGTGTTGAGTCAGCTGTACCGCTACATCATGGCAAGAATAAATCATCTTTAGGAATTGCGTGTCTGGTCCTTCTTATAATCAACTATCGTTACCAGCTGTTTCTCAAAAGACAACGGTACGTAGATTAAACCAAACCAAAAAGAACGAGACACACTTTCGCCCTCAATAACCTCTGGAGATTCCTGCGGACAAATTGTCTCAATCCTTGTACTAGAGATACTCTGAGGGCCGCAAAACATCGTCACGGACATTCGTCTTAGCATAGATACATTTTAAAAACAATGATATTGGATCTTCTTTTCGACCCACCCAAAGACTGTGGCTAATTGCCGCTCTCACAGACCAACCTCAGCGCAAAGATATTAGCAAAACAAATTCCAGTTTGGATCTTCAAATATTCTGCAAGAAGCTATCGCACATTTTTTTCTGCATCAAAGCGCTTCCGCTTTCTAGCAGAGCTGGGCTGCTGACTCTCCATACCTCTACCAGAAATTTACGACGTGGCAACTAAGGCTCTCGACTTCCAGTCAAACTATGGTGCATGACGTTCAAGGAAGGCCAAACCTATGGATTCATTCATATTTCGACCTAGGCATACAACAAGACAGCATTCCACGCTTAAGCGCTCCCTAGAAAGTTTAGCAAAACCCTTGTCATCGCCTTGTCGTTTGACGCACGGATACTGGTTTCGTCAATGCCTCCGCGAGTCGTCTACCAAGTCTAACAGTCGCGCATCGTACGTCATAGCAATATGCATCGGCACATTACCCAACTTTCCGCGGCTTCGAAAATAAAACCAACAACTTTGGGTTGTGATCTGCTCTTCTCCTGGAACAAGTCGTACTATTTGAAGCTGGGATCCAATGACCACAATCTCGACTAGGTAAGATAGATACCAATCTTCGATGGAGGTGCTGAACGGCGTACTGAAACTCGACATTCCGCGTGTGAGATCTGCCGGTCGACCACCCATGAAAGCTCGAATTTCTGTTTCAAGAGAGGGGGTGGTGAGCGTAGACGTTTGGTACTACCATAGATGTAATATGTTTGCCGAGTATACATATGAGGTAATGTGTAAAGTGGCTTTGGTAGCCGCGGTGCTGCTAAGTGACTTACAGGTCAATTTCTAATCTGTATAAATGAGTACCTTTGCTTCTGGCGACGCTTAGAGTTGCCATCTGCATATCCACCGGTCCCTGGGCACCGAAGTTGTGCTACACATTCAAGCCGACGTTTAAGGCCTCTTTAAAAGAGGTTGGATTGCCGCGTGAGCTTCCGACGCAAGCCTAACCTGGGTTCGCGAGAGAGGGCCGGCCACTATCCTGGCAATAAGAGTATCACACGTGGGGATAGTTAAATAGTTGTCCAATTTCTTCATGGACAAGCAATTTGGTACAAATGGTACGACTGGTTAGGTAGCGAACAACGGCGACTACGCACCCCCCGTTCTCTTTTTCTGAGATACCGCACGTTAGTGCCACATTCTCGCAGCGTCCTCCAAGCTTAGTTACCGCTAGCCCAACACGCTGTTGCCTGGTTAAGCATGGCCAAAATATTTTGTATATCTGAATACTTTTTGTCCAGAAAGAGAGTCTTACCGTCCCCGCCCTCAAATTACTAAAGACCTAGTGAAAGCAGCTTTACTGCAAGAGACGGTACTGCTCCCATAGCTTGGCCAGGAACTCAGCGGAGCTGCCGGAGCTAGCGCCTGAGGAAGCCTTATTTAGGCCACCGACCTTTTGTTCTATACTCAGAACAAGTAAGAGTTAGCGGATTGCAATCCGCTTACTCCAAGAGTAATTATTGCCTTCCCAAGGCTAATTGACTCTTCGGTTTAAAATCCAGAATTGATTTTATTTTTTATCCTAATTTTAAAAGTTTACATTCTCTTAAAATATACTAAATATATATAGTAAAATCTAACTACTGGCTACTCAGCCACATTGTATTCTTGTTTGGGTGCAGTCGCACCATGCACATCTCGTGTGACAAACACCCCTGTTACCAGGGTTCGTGTACT